GAGAGGGAGGGAGGGAGGAATGAATAGATGGAGCACAAGGGATTTTTAGGGCAATGAAATTATTCTGTGTGATACTATAGTGGTGGCTACATGTCATTATGCATTTGTCAAAACCCATAGAATGTACAACATTAAGAGTAAACCCTAATGTAAACTATGGACTTTGGTTGATTATCATGTGCCCATGTTGGTTCATTGATTTTAGCAAATATGCCACACTGATGAGGGATGCTGAGCGTAGGGGAGTATATGTGTGTGGGTGGGGTGGGCTATGTGGAAACTCTGTATTTTCTGCTCAATTCTGCTGTAAACCTGAAACTGCTCTAAAAAAAAAAGTCTATTAAAAGAAAGAACCTGGGAGAAGAATGGATGCATAGAATGAGAAGTTTTAAAGAAAGAGTCAGAAACATAAAGAATAACCAAACAGAGATGAAGAAATGAAAAATACACTAGAAGGAATCAGCACTAGACTAAATGATACAGAGGAGTGTGGATCAGTGAGCTGGAAGACAGAGTAGTAGAAATCACTGATGCTGAACAGAAAAAAGAATTTAGAAAAAAAAGGAAGAAAGTTTAAGAGACCTCTGGGACAAGAGCAAGCACACTAATGTTCACATTAGAGGGGTCCCAGAAGGAGAAGAGAGAGAGAAAAGGGGGCTAAGAACACATCTGAAGATGACAGTAGCTAAAAACTTCCCTAACCTCAGAAAGGGAACAGTCACCTAAGTCCAGGAGGCACAGAGAATCCCATACAGGAGTAACCCTAAGAGGAGCACACCAAAATGCACTGTGATTAAAATGACAACAATTCAAGATAAAGAGAGAATATTAAAAGCAGCAAGGGAGAAGCAACAAATTACACACAAGGGAACTCCCATAAGATCATCAGCTGACTCTTCAGCAGAAACTGCAGGCCAGAAGGGAGTGGCATGCTGTATTGAAAGTCATGAGAGGGAAAAACCTACTACCAAGAATACTCTACCCAGCAAGGCTCTCATTCAGATTTGATGGAGAGATCAAAAGCTTGACAAAAAAGAAGACACTAAAAGGGTTCAGCACCACCAAAGCAGCTTTACAACAAATGTTAAAGGAACTTCTCTAGGTGAAAAAGAAAAGGCCACAACTAGAAATAAGAACATTACAAAATGAAAAAAGCTCACCGATGAAGGCAAACATAGAGTAACGGTAGGAAATCATCCACACACAAAGCTAGTAGGAAGGCTAAAAGACAAAATTATCAAAATCATCTACACCCACAATAAACATCCACCCAGTCACTCTGTATCTTTTGATTGGAGCAGTTAGTCCATTTATAGTTAACGTAATTATTGATACGTATGTTCTTATTGCCATTTTCTTAATTGTTTGGGGGTTGCTTTTGTAGTTCTTTTTTTCCCCTTCTTTTATTCTCTTCTCTTGTGATTTGATAACTATCTTCAGTGCTATGCTTAGATTCCCCTTTTTTATCTCTATGTCTATTATAGATTTTTGGTCTGTGGTTACCATGAAGTTTTTATATAGCAATCTCTATGTATGTGATTTTTTTCAGTTGCTGATCTCTTAATTTCAAATGCATTTTAAAAACCCTGCAGTTGTACTATCTTCCCCTCATAACTACTGTTTTTGATACCACATTTTATATCAGCTGCAGAAAAACACAAACACATGGAGGCTAAACAATATGCTACTAAACAACCAATGGATCACTGAAGAAATCACAGAAGAAATTTTAAAAATACCTGGAGACAAATGAAAATGAAAATACAATGACCCAAAACCTAGGGGACACGGCAAAAGCAATTCTAAAAGGGAAATTTATAGTGATACAGGCTTACCTCAGGAAACAAGAAATACCTCAGATAAACAACTTAATCTTCCACCTCAACAAACCAGAAAAAGAAGAACAAACAAGACATAAAGTTGGTAGAAGGAAAGAAATCATAAAGTTCAGAGCAGAAATAAATGAAATAGAAACTAAAAGCTGGTTCTTTGAAAACACAAAAAAATTTGATAAACCTTTAGAAATACTTATTTAAAATAAAAGGAGAGGACCTAAGTCAATAAATCAGAAATGAAAAAAAGAAATTACAACCAACATCACAGAAACACAAATGCTCATAAGAGACTACTATGAACAACTATATGCCAATAAAATGGACAACACAGAAGAAATGGACAAATTCTTAGAAAAGCACCCTCTTCCAAGACTGAACCAGGAAGAAATAGAAAATAGAAATACACCAACTACCAGTAATGGAATTGAATCAGTAGCTTAAAAACTCCCAACAAACAAAAGTCCAGGACCAGACGGCTTCACAGATGAATTCTACCAAACATGTAAAAAAGATTTAAAACTTACTCTTCTCAAACTACTCTAAAGAATTGCAGAGGAAGGAAGACTTCTGAATTCATTCTATGAGGCCAGCATCAATCACTCTGATACTAAAACCAGAAAAAGATACAAAAAGAAAAGAAAAGAAAAATTAACAGTCCAATATCACTGATGAACATAGATGCAAAAATCCTCAACAAAATATTAGCAAACAGAATTCAACAACACATTGAAAGGATTGTACACCATGATCAAGTGTGATTTATCCCAGGGATGCAAGGATCTTTCAGTATCTGCAAATCAATCAATGTGATACACCACATTAGCAAACTGAATAAAAATCATATGATCATATCAATAGATGCAGAAGAAGCTTTTGACAAAATTCAACACCTATTTATGATAAAAAAAAAAAACCCTCCAGAAACTGAGTATAGAGGGAACATACCTCAACACAATAAAGGTCATGTATGAGAAACCCACAACTAACAACATACTCAGTGGTGAAAAGCTGAAAGCATTTCATCTAAGATCAGGAAAAAGACAAGGACGCCCACCCAATCTTGTCAGTTTTACTCAACATAATATTGGAAGTCCCAGCAGCAGCAATCAGACAAGAAAAAATGCATATAAACGGTATCCAAATTGGAAGGGAAGAAGTAAAACTGTCACTGTTTGTATGTGACACGATAATATACATAGAAAATACTGAAGCTGCCACCAAAAAACTGCTAGAGCTCATCAATGAATTAGGTAAATTTGCAGGAGACAAAATTAACATACAGAAGTCTGTTGCATTTCTATACACTAGTAAAAAACTAACAGAAACAGAAATTAAGGAAACAATCCCATTTACCATCGCATCACAAAGAACAAAATACCTTGGAATAAACCTACCTAAGGAGGTAAAGACCTGTACTTGGGAAACTATAAGACACTGATGAAAGAAATCGAAGACAACACAAACAGATGGAAAGATATACCATGTACTGGGATTGGAAGAATTAATATTGTTAAAATGACCATACTACCCAATGCAATAAACAGATTCAACGCATCCTTATCAAAAGTCCAATGCTATTTTTGCCAGAACTAGAACAAATAATTTTAAACTTTGTGTGGAAACATAAAAGACATGGAATAGTTAAAACAATCTTGAGAAAGATGAACAGAGCTGTAGGAATCAGGCTCCCTGACTTCAGATAATACTACAAAGCTGCAATAATCAAAACAGTACAGTACTGGCATAAAAACAAACACATATTTCAACAGAATAGAATAGAGAGCCCAGAAAGAAACCCATGCACTTATGGTCAATTAATCTATGACAGCAGAGGCAAAAATATACAATGGAGAAAAGACATTCTGAATAATAAGTGGTGCTGGGAAAACTGGACAGCTACATGTAAAAGAATGAAATAGAACATTCTTTAACACCACATACAAAAATAAACTAAAAATGGATTAAAGTTCAAATGATGAACAGAAGCCATAAAACTCCTGGAGGAAAACATAAGCAGAACACAATTTGACATAATCTATACCGATATTTTATTTAGATCTGTTGCCTAAAGCAGAGGAAATAAAAGCAAATATCAACAAAACGGTCCAAAATAAACTTAAAAGCTTTTGCACAGCAAAGGAAACTATCAATAAAACAAAAAGACAATCTACTGAATGAGAGAAAATATTTGCAAGTGATATGACCAATAAGGAGTTAATACCCCACATATAAAGTAGCTCATACAATTCAGTGTCAAAAAAAAAAAAGAATTCAACAAACAACTCTACTTAAAAATGGGCAGAAGATCTGAACAGATATTTTTCCAAAGAGAAAATGCAGATAAAAAGATGCTTAAAATCGCTAATCAGAGAAATGCAAATCAAAATCATAATATCACCTCATATCTGTCAGAATGGCTATCATCAAAAAATCACAAATAACAAATGTTGGCAAGGATGTGGAGAAAAGGGAACCCTCATATACTGTTGGTGGGAATTGAAATTGGTACAGCCACTGTGGAAAACAGTACGGAGGTTCCTCAACAAACTGAAAATAGAACTACAATATGATCCAGCAATTCCACTCCTGGGTAAATATCTGAAGAAAACAAAAACACTAATTCTAAAAGATACATGCAATCCAGTGTTCATAGAAGCATTATTTACAACTGCCAAGGTGGAAAGCAACCTAAGTGTTCATCAACAGATGAATGGGGGGAGGGTATAGCTCAAGTGGTAAAGTGCATGCTTAGCATATACAAGGTCCTGGGTTCAGTCCCCAGCAACTCCTCTAAAAATAAAACAGTAAGTAAATCCAACTACCTTCCCCCCACAACAACAAAACTTGTGACTCTCTATATTCTACACCTGTAACATATACAATATTGTGCAAATGCAAAAGTAAGTGATACAAGAGCAAACCTGAAGTTTAAGACTTTGAGGCCCTGTGAGAATTGAAACTAATACAATATTGTAAATCAACTATATTTCAATTTTTAAAAATGGAAAATTGCAAAAAAGAAGTATACCTTCCAATGGTAGAAAAGAAAAAAGAATTGGTATTCATGTTATGTCTTTCATGCAGAAGTCATATGCTTACAGAGGCATTAAGCTCCTCATATTGAAATCTGTACCCTAAAAAAGGTAGTTCTAGGACTGAGATTCACAGACCACCAGAAGTGAGAAGGCCAATATAGGGCTGAGTCAGCCAACACTGAACACAGTCCATGAGCAAGATCCACTCTTCCTCCCTGCGACCAGGGCAGACACTGGGAGCAGGTCCCTGTCCTCCCTCCCCTGAGCCCAGAAGGAACTGAAGGTTCACTAACAAGACCAGAAAAGGCATCTGACATAGAGACTATGTGACGCCTCACATCTAAGCCATGTCCCACCCTCCCCACCCAGGACCATAGATGAGCAGAGGAGGCCCAAGCATGACAGCCCAGTTCACAGACACTAGACAAAGGGCTGCATGTGGTTGCCACTTCTCTACTCATTTGTAAACATCTATCAATAATACCATTTGTCATTCTCTACTCACTTGTAAATATCAGTAATATCATTTGTCATTCTCTACTCATTTGTAAATATCAATAATACCATTTCATTCGATACTCATTTGTAAACATCTACCAATAATACCATTTGTCATTCTCTACTCATTTGTAAACATCTACCAATAAATAATATAAATAATCCCACACCTACAAAATTGTCAGTTGGAAATGACGGGTACTTTAGAAGTTGCTAGTCATCTAATCCTAGACAAAGTCAAACTGCATTTGAAGGAGAACTGATCCCACCAGTGCGCCCCATCTGATGGGCTTCTTCCTCTTCCCTTTGTATTTCTACTCATTTTATGCTTGCCTGCTCTCATTTAGGGAACCCACATAGTCAACTCAGTTAAGTACATTTCCAAAAGCTTTTCCATGGCCATATAAATATTCACCAAAATACAAAAATAGAAAGATGTACATCACGCAATATTAAGCCATGGATGGATCCAACAATACCTAAAATAGAAGTAAAAAGTGCAATTCTATTAGGATGACAAAAAGTGCCCTGGACTGAATGACATCCTAAATCAATTCTTCGTATATATACAAACATAAATATCTATCAATAACTCAAATGCCATTTATCAATAACATTTCATAAAAATTACTCCCATCTTATCAAAACTTTTCAGAACTTTTAAATCTGTTGTATATATCAGATGATAGGCTTCCTTCAAGTATTGGTCAAGTACCGGCTGTTTGTTTCACGTTGATATTCAATCATGCTTTTACATTCTTTTACACTCAGGACACAGCAGAGCCTTCTTCACCTACTTCATAGACAAACTTTCCTGAGCCCACCAGCCAGTTCTGGATTTTCTCCTTTGCACATCTTTGCCCCAGTGTTTCTAAGGCGTCCAGCAGGGTGTTGATGGAGGCTTCCCGCCCCTTGCTGCTGAGCCAGGCCTCCAGCATTTCATACAAGGCATCCCGCGGGGCCCGGGCTTTGTCTCTGGCCATAAGGATCTCATTTTGTGTCAGGCCCATCTGCCTCATGACTGCATCCCAGTAATCATAGGGCACGACGCTTGTAAAGTAATTGAAGAACATCCTCAGGCCTGGGTTGGGGGAAAGTCACAGAGGCAGTCAGGTGAGCTGGGACGGGCTTCAGAAAGGGCAGAGGACCCTCCATGAGGCCTAGACCCCAGGCTGGGGCTAGAGGAGCTCCCCCTGCTGGTGAACCTGCTGCTCTGCGTCCCTGACCTGCTTCCCATCAGCAGAGAATCAGGCCACACTGCAGGGGCCTCACCTGTACCCAAGGCACTGCAGGGAGTCAAGGTCACCAGAGAATCCTGCCCTAAGGGAGGGACGAGGGCCCTGCTGGGAAGGGGGACAGAAGTCACAGAGGGAGAAGGCAGGATGTGTAGGAGACAGAGGGTGGCACAGACTTTGGTGCAACAGACCTCAGAGAAGGGCACCTGCCCTTCTCATGAGAATAAGGGCCCCCAGCTGCTGCATCTGTGCTGTGGACAGAGCAAGGGCCTGGAGGTAGGAAGCTCTCTGGCCTCACACCCAGCTCGGCCTCACTGACTGACGCAGTGGCAGAGCTAGATGGGGACGAACAGACTCTGAGCAAGAATTTAACCTGTAAGATGGAGCCAACACCAAGCACGTCGAAGGAGTGTACCGGGGATTCAATGCGATGTGGGTGAAATGCAGTGCACACCACTGTCCATTGGTACATAAGGTGGGCACTGAATACAAGTTTAAATTCTATAAGAGCTGCACTGAAAAAAGTAAGAAGTAATTCTAATTTTCATAAAATATGAATTCAATATATTCTAAAAATTTTCACTTTAATATGTAATCAGTATACAAAAATTTGTTATTGAGACCTATTACATTCCGTTTTTTTTGTTTTTTTTTTTACCAATTCTTTGAAACACAGTATCTAGTTATACCACAGCTCATCGAATTTGGCCTAGCCACAGGTCAGGTGCTCCACAGTCCCCTGGGGCCAGTGGGTGCCCTGCTGGACAGCACACTCCCTTAGGTGCCTCAGTGTGGGCGAACCTGGCCCTGAGCAGCAAGGGAGAAGGGAGAAAGAGGGAAGGACTGGGAGGCGTTACGGGACAGAGGGGTGCAGAGGAGGGGAGAGATGGATTTAGAGTTCTGATGGTCCAGGAACAAGCCATCCCCTGCTGTGAGTTGCCCTAACAGCTATGGAGATGGCAGTTAGGACACTGTCCCTTCTCCCTCCATTCCTGCTCCACTGCCCTGGAAAAAATACTCACCTTCAATGGAGTCCACATCATTAGCTGGAACCAGCATCCTCCTCATCTGAGACTCTTTCGCTCCTGCTGCTTCCTGTAAAATACAGTGGAGAACAGCCTTGGACTTAGTCAGGAGTCCTGGATTTCAGAACTGAGCCCAGTAACCAGCCCACTGTGTGACCTGGGCAGCCACCTTCCCTCCTGGGTCCCTATGGAGATGAGAGGAACCTCCCACCCTGAACAGTTCACAGGCTCCTATCCTCATGGAAGGAAATTTTCCCTGCAGTAATGCTCACTTCTTAATTGTCTGCTCAGCTTTGACAATTCTATACAGCTGAGTAAACATAATCCATCCAAGACAAGGAACATTCCTCCCCTAAACCTTGTCCCTTCTGGCCCTTCTAGTCCTTTCCCACCCACTGCATCAGGAGATAAGCACTCCCTCCCAGGCTTTTTGTGACTCAGATGAAGAGTATTTACAAAGGCACTTTGGAAAATCTGAAGTAAGTGTTTATTCTGTGTATGTGAAGGTGCTTTGGTCAATGACAATGTATCATATCGGTAGTGTAAATAAGGGAATGACAGCATCTGATGGTCTTCATGGAGACTGGAAAGGCATTTTGTAGAATTAAAGATGAATTCTGACTTTTACAAAATACCTAAAAATAGGAGGCTGCATCCATAATGATAAAATTTTTTATATGAAAACAAGCATCAACATCGTTCCTAATGCTGAAATACTGTAGGTGTTCATAACGAAATCAAACGAACACTGAAATATACGCCTTCTCTAAGTATCTTTGAACATTGTAAGTTTTGGACCATGCAGCCAGTAAGATGTAAAGCAAAAATAAGGCAGGAATAGTGGAGGGGACAGAAACTATAATTATTTTAATATGAATGTATATTTAAAAATTCTAAGGTTTAAGCTACAATATTTAAAAATGAATGCATGTCTTAATGAATGTTAAAAAAACATATCAGAAACAATATATTAGAAAATGGGATTATAGGAGGAGCTAACCATTAAAAGTAACAAGACATGTGAGATATAAAGAAACATGTTTGACAAAAAATAGGCATAATTTATCAGAAGAACTCAAATCTTAACTGAGTCACAATAAAAAACCTTTCAGTTGAAATGCTATTTCCTTTTTAAAAACTATTTTTTATTGAGTTATATTTGATTTACAGTATTATATTAGTTTCCGGTGGACAACCTAGTGATTCAAAATTTTTATAGATTATTCTCCATTTAAATTTATTATAAATTATAGAATAGCCAAAGCATTACTGAAGAGAAAGAAAGAGGCTGGAGGAATAACTCTCCCAGACTTCAGACCATACTATAGAGCTACAGTCATCAAGATAGCATGGTCTTGGTACAAAAACAGACATATAGACCAATGGAACAGAATAGAGAGCCCAGAAATGAACCCACAAACTTTTGGTCAACTAATCTTCGACAAAGGAGGCAAGATTATACAATAGAATAAAGACAGTCTCTTCTGCAAATGGTGTTGGGAAAACTGGACAGCAGCATGTAAAGCAATGAAGCTAGAACACTCCCTTACACCATACACAAAGTAAAGTTATTATAAAGTATTGGCTATATTCCTGTGGTATACAATCTTTTTTGTAAACATTTATTTTTTACATAGTAGCTTGTATGTCTTAATCCCGTACCCCCGTTTTGCCCTTCCCACCTTCCCCTTCCCTCCTGAAACCACCAGCTTGTTCTCTGTATCTGTGAGTCTGTTTCTGTTTTGTTACATTTATGTTTTTTATTTTTTAGATTCCACATAGAAGTGATAACATACAGTATTTATCTTTCTCTGTCGGATGATTCACTAAGCATAATACCCTCCAAGTCCATCTGTGTTGGTGCAAATAGCAAAATTTGATTCTTTTTTATGGCTGAGTATTACATTCTATATATAGACACACTATATCTGCTTTATCCGTTCAACTGTTGATTCCTTTCTACTTAGATTGCTTTCCATTGTGAATAATGCTGCTATGAACACTGGAGTACGTGTATCTTTTAGCATTAGTGTTTTTGTTTTCTTCAGATATTTACCCAGGAGTAGAATTGCTGGATCATATTGTAGTTCTACTTTTAGTTTGTTGAGGAACCTCCGTACTGTTTTCCAAGTGGCTGCACCAATTTCCATTCCCACCAACAGTACATGAGGGTTCCCTTTTCTCCACATCCTTGCCAACATTTGCTATTTGTGATTTTTTGATGATAGCCATTCTGATAGATGTGAGGTGATATTATGGTTTTGATTTGCATTTCTCTGTTTAGTGATTTTGAGCATCTTTTCATCTGCATTTTCTCTTTAGAAAACTGTCTATTCAGATCTTCTGCCCATTTTTAAGTTGAGTTGCTTGTTGGGTTTTTTTTTTTTCTTCTGATACTGAATTGTATGAACTGCTTGTATGTGTGGGGTATTAACTCCTTATTGGTCATATCACTTGCAAATATTTTTTCCCACTCAGTAGGTTGTCTTTTTGTTTTATTGGTGGTTTCCTTTGCTGTGCAAAAGCTTTTAAATTTAATTTTGACCCATTTTTTGATATTTGGGGAGGTAATTAGCTTTATTTATTTTTAGAGTAGGTAGTGGGGATTGAACCCAGGACCTTGTGTATGCTAAGCAGGCATTCTACCACTAATCTATACCCTCCCCTCTTATGATCAGCTATTTGGACTAAGATTTGTTTTCATACATGTTCAATAAATCTGATACTGTTATTACTATGGGGAATGGCTTAATATGTTATTTCAGAACTATGCAGTGGAATATTATGCTGCCCTCAATAAATCATTCAACAAATATGCGAGTGCCCACTGCCTGTTCTAGACTGAGGATACAGTGAGAACTGGACAGATAAAAAATAGGGTTACATTGTATAGAGCTGACAGTCTACCACAGCAGGGGTGGGCTCCCTTTCCCCTTCAGGACCCTGATTTCTTTCCCTCCATCACCACTTCCCCATGGGACAGGAGATCTGACCGGCATCGGCCTTTCCCTCTATCTCCCACACTCCCGGGCAAGCAGGGGGGCCGTCAC